GTATAGAGACAGCTTTATGTATAATAATTTCATATTATGTTAATAATAAATAAATTTTATTTCATCATTTTAGCTTTAAAATTCCTTTTTGTTTATGTAATGTTGCAACTTGTAATCCAAAGAAAAGGCTAATATAGTTTTTGGTCTTTCAAGTTCACTTTTATTTTAGTTTTGATCCTCCAAGTTTCAAATCATAACATTGATCCCTATGATTAAATAAAAATCTAGATCATTTTGCCCATTAAAGAATCAAGACTTATGCTTTAAAATTTAAGGAACTAAAACTAAAATAACAGTAAACTTGAGGATTCAAAAATTATATTAACTCCAAAGAAAATGTATTGTTTTGGTTGTTTGCTCGGAGGAACAAATGAAATTGAAGTGAGGGAATAATTTTGAAAATGCATGGTTCCTTTTCAGGTTCAGTAATCTCTCACTCCTTGCCCTGTCTCATTCCGTTATATTATAATGCAAACTCATGGAGATCCACTTTGATTTTTTTTTTTGGGGTTAAAGTATAGGTATTATCTAATTAGAGGCAATCTTACTTGAGGTATTATCAGACACTAAATGTGAGTACTTCTCCTAATAGGGGTTTGAATCTTGGTTCGTCACGTTATGAAGGATTAGCTTTTTCCGCTGGACCTAACCCTGCTGGTGATCCACTTTGAGTTTGCTTATTATTCAAAAAGCCATAAGATGGAGAGCCACAAGCACATGTAGAATAGAATGTGATGTTTGTCATGAATAGAGTGACCAAAGTACGAATACTCTGTTTGGAGAATAAGAAGCAGAAGATAAAGCTTCCTCTTTTTGCGGACATTACAAAGAAGGAAGGGCAGAAGTAGAGGCACAAGAATAGTTAGTAACAGAGTACTTATAGAAAGAGACTCGTTCAAACCGTAAGCCAAGATTAAAGGCCCTTTGTGCCAAGAAAATCCTTATTGACAGAGTTATGCTAGGGAACCAAAAACCCAGTGCTACAGATCAAAATGAAATCGAACCTTGAAAACATGAGATAATAATTCGAAAAGAAAGGAAAAAGAATTGAGAACTAGGCGGAGCTGATATATATTTATATCAAAGGGGCAAAGTCTAATTATCTGAAGAAGCAGAACAGGAAGGGGAAAAAAGCCATTCTCAACTGTTGGGAAGCATAGAGAATGACATAACAAAAACAGAGCAACAAGTAAATCAAGCATCCTTTGTGCCAAGAAAATTCTTACTGAAAGAGTAATGCAAGAAGAGGCTCCTTCAAGCCATTTGACTAAATATCATATCTTGCAAAGGTTAGTCTCCCTTCAGCCATTTGATGAAAATGATAGAGCATAATCAAAATGTATAAATGCTTTTCCCATATTGTCGTCAATATAACCTTTTGTTCAATTTCATGCTGAATTGGAAAAGACATCACCACGTGAAAAACGGGAGCAGAGAGAGAAGGGGAGGGGGAGAGAGAGAGAATAACCCAAAGCTTAATCAAATTTCCCAAGGTATCCACAAATTATTTCGACTTACCACATTTTACAGAAAATTACAATTGGAGGGTCTGAGACAATTTAAACAGAAAAGGCTTGTGCCAGCCTACATGTATCCTTCGATCATGCCCTGCTACTACCAGACCTCTCCAATCTGTCTTCTGTGATGACTTGCACTTAACTTGAACAAGCAGATCAGTTTGTGCAAAGCCTCCAACTGTGACACGTGTAGAATCAGGAAATAAACCTTCTTTTGATTGTACAGAAAGAACATCTAAACAATATGAGAAGACTGCACTATAAGAATTGCTGATTCATTGAACCATGAGCCTTTCTACGCTGCTTATCCGGCAAGGGATCTGTCCAGAATAAGCACAGAACAAATTAACAGAATATAAGAGTTCGTTGGCGTGCTTAACTTGACTGGGAGAGAGAGAGAGATATATATATATGTATATATATATTGTCTCTAAAGAAATGATGTGGAAATAAAATAATGATCCATTCCTCATTTGATCAGCCTCTGCTTCGATATTAACAACGTCACTCTTAGGTCTGTTTAGTATGAGTAAAAAAAAAAAAAACGGGGAGGAAAAAAAATTTCAATAAGCTAGATTTAAAAGATCAAAAAAAGTAGAGATAAAAAATTTTAATTGATTTTTATTACTCTTTTATATTATTTTTTCTGTCTATTAAAATTTTAAAATTTTATTTTTTCAATTTTTTAAATAGACCTCATTAAATTTTTTCTTCCCCTCTTTTTTTTTTTTAAAAAAATTTCTCTCATACCAAACAGTACACCTTAGACATGAAGCTAAATGCATCAGGAACTTATATGAGCTAAACTAACAACCCTGATTGAATTAAGAACTCAGAAACTAATAATAAAAAATAATCCAGCACTAAGAGGAAGCTACTCTATGAACTGACAGTGCCAGCTGACGGAGCCGGGGAGACAAGCCGGGGGGGCGTTTTGGCAATTTCCCAAAAAAAGGCTTTTCCATCCTAAACCATAGTTTTGGCAAGATACTCGTATTATCCAAAGAGGCAGATTTTTTAGAAAATCTTGGTTTGGTTTTGGCCTCTAAAACTATGGTTTCATGAAAGCAAAAAAATTGTTGCTTTTTGAAAATGTGGTTTTTTTTTATATTGTAATATTATTTTTAGTCCTTAATATAAGAGCTAGTTGATTAATTTGTGTAGATTAAAAAATTAATTAAGTTAGCTATTTGTAATAAATAGGTATTGTCTTCTCTAAAATACTATTTCTAATCACATGTATTTACTAGAAGTATCATTTGATGAAATATTTACCATGTGTAACTACTACAAGAACTACTTTTAAAAAATGAATAAATATAGGAAATAAAATAGATTAAATTTTTATATTTAAGATCAAATTGAATATCAAAATAACTCTTATATTAAATACTAGAGTTAGTATGTGGTTAAAAAAAACTAGTTGTGAAAAAATATTATGAGATTTCATATTTAAAATTAAAATAATATTTTTCTATTAGCAAAAAAAATTATTTTTCTAAAAACATATTTAATCTTATATTTTATATATACATATACATATATTACTTATTTATTAATTATATTTTTTATATATTATTTATTATTTTGGCAAAAAATATATTATTAACAAATTTATTACTTCAAATAAAAATATATTATAAAATCTATCTTTTATGTAATTATCATATTAACTCATGTTAACAACTATCCAAACACTCTCACTTTATCAAAATCATTTTTTATAAAATCTATTTTTTCAAAATCTATTTTGGCAAAAAATATATTATTAAAAATTTATTACTTCAAATAAAAATATATTATAAAATCTATCTTTTATGTAATTATCATATTAATTTATGTTCTTTTCTGATAACAATTATCCAAACACTCTTACTTTATCAAAATCATTTTTTATAAAATCTATTTTTTCAAAATCCATTCTCAAAAATAACTTTTCTTCTAGAAATTATTATTCAAATCATAATTTAATTTTATCCAAACACCCAAATCTCAAAGGAGCCGACTTCGCCAGCGGGGCGACCAGCGAACCATCGACGCTAATGGCAAAAGACACAACGGGGGAGGGCCTCCAATCTATTGAACTGGTTTTATAAAGTTAGCTCATTCTGTAATAGAAAATGAATCACAATCAAAATTGACTATGATGATTTCCTTTCGAGTCCGTTTAGCACAGTTTATAAATAATTTTTCAATAGTGATTTGCAGAATACAAGGCAAATATGTAAGAAGAGTTTTGTCTCGGCTTACATAAAATGTGCTTATGAGAGATTTACTTTGCTCTGCAAAACGGGCCCTTCCTTGGGGACTTCAAAGCAAGTAGAGTAGAGAAGAGATTTGTCGAAGACGTCCAGGGTTTGATTTTAAAATTTTTTAATAATAAATTTTTCTTTTTTGAAAAAAGTAACAGTTAAAAATTATTGAAAAAAGGAAAAAAACAATTATACCAACATTCTTTTTTTTTTTTAAGGATTTTCATATATTGATAGGTTAAAAAAATTTTATGTTTTGCAGTTCTTCCTTTTTGTTTGTTGTTGTTGTTATTATTATTATTAATTTTACACAATTACCTAAATATCCATCTTACTATATTTTAATGTATCTTTTTCTCTGTTACAACAAAATAATTAGTTTCAATAATATTATCTATGACGGCCGCGGTGTAGTTTGGAACATGTTGCCTCTGTTTTAATTTTGCCTTTTAATTTGTTCATAAGTCTTAATTCCCTTCTAAATTTTAATGAATCTTGGTGTTTCATTGTTGGTTTTGAATTTCGTTCTTTATCAGAATTTTATTCACAGACGCTAAGATTTTAGGGTATTTCTAATTAAAGGCAACTTTGTGGGTTTGCAAATATTTCCAAAACTGCTGTAAAGCCTTTTTTGAAAGCAAGATGATCGGATGACTGGAGCCAGATCAAACTTTTTAGGCTGCTGATTATGAGTTTACGACTTTAATTGATGCAGCCTCACCAAATGGAAATGATGCAGCCATCGGAGGAATCAGGACTGAACAAGAAAAGATGAGAGGATATTAATTTTCAAAGATCGAACCTGTTGTTTCTTGTTCTTCTCATATTCTTCAGATGCTTCTTCACTCGCGTACGAAGATGAACTTGATCTTTATATTCGCAAGCTTCTTCAATGGCTTCCTCAATGTCCATAAATCTTTTTTAATTTCTCAATCTGCTCAGTTAATTTCCCGTGATCATGAAATATTAGCAGTAAGAAATAATCACCTTAATGTCCAGTTGAATCCAAACAATAAAAAATGTTAAAGTAATTATATGCATGCCAATGGTACAACATAATGATGCGGTAATCAGAACGCACAAATTATTTTAAAAAAATGTCTATCAGTAGTAGTTAAAACCGGAGCATACCATTTTGAGGTGGAGGCCCGAGAGTGGTAAATGAAGTTGAAGTAGTGGGCTGATGAATTGAACTTGAGACCTTTAAAACTCAAAAACCATGTTATGAAATTCATGGAAGTGAGCTGTGATATTTGCGCTTTCGAGAGGCCGATTGCGTTGCATTAGAGCTACGATGTGGATGCAATAATGCCAATTGAATTCGTCTGATGTAATTTTGATATTCAACTGCAGATGTCGGGCACACCCCACACTCTTTGATCTCTACTGGTTTTTCATCATCACGAGGTGCGAATTGAATTTGAAGCAATGGATGATAAGTGTTGCTTTGAGCTTCTCTTTTCTTTTCTTCAATTTTCCTTAGTACTTCTTCACATGACTTTCTATTGTACCAAAGAAAAACATGATCAGACAACATGGACCCATCAGTCAAATACGATCCTTCAAACACGGAAGCACATTGATGACCATCAATAAACAATTTGGCTTCAATGAAACTCGACCGTGGTGTTCCTGCAGGAATGACGGCGCAGAAAATGAAAACGCCATCCCAAGGTTGTGGAATCGAACTGAGATCCACAGTCACCAAAGACTGTGTAGTCCTATACATGAACCATTCTGCAACACTTTTTCCCGGATATTCCATACTAGCTCTGTCAGCTTGGTTATCATTCATGTCAAGTAGCACTACGGCCTCAACAGCTTTGATTGACTGCCCATCCAACTTCATACAATTTATGAAATTGAAGTATTCATAATATTGTTTTCCTTCTCTACCTTCACTCATTAAAGGTGAATGTAAGGTCTCAAGGGATAGGCATTCATTGGCGCTCAGTGTACGGATAGAGGGAGGGAGTTGTGGTAAAGACCGAAGCCTTTCGCATCCATCTAAGTAAAGAGTCCGCAGGCTTGAAAGATGCTTGATGCTTAAAGGCAAGGTCTCTATATTGCTCCTTGAGAGACGCAACTCATGTAATGACAACAAGAAGCTGATGTTGTCAGGCACTTCATATAATTTACTACAATTATCCAGCCATAGAGATCCCAAAGCACGCGGCACCTCATCAAATATGGAACGTAGATTTGATGCTAGCTTATTACAATAACCAGCATGAAGGCGTCGAAGGGTGTGCATCGCAAACAATTTGTGAAGACTTGTCACACCTCCGCAACTTTCGAGGTCCAAAAAGTCAATTTTGCTAAGACAACCGCTTGATGAGCACAACTCACCATTGATGGCTGTTCTGCAAAGCATCAATTGAAACCGATTATTTTCTGAGGTCACTGAAAATTCACGTAGTCCTGAGCATCCTGTCAAGTCCAATTCACTCAGTGATTTGAGATGGGTCTTGCTCGTAAGGCTGGTAAGGGCTTTGCAGTCATTTAGCAATAAACGACAAAGGCTATGGAGAGATAAAATAGATGGATGAACATTTTGCAATTTTAAACAACCCTGAAGATGAACTTCTGCAAGATGTATGGCTTTGGAAAAATTTGGGAGCTTAATCAAATCTTTTGATCCATGAAGATCAATTCTGCTTAAATTCGCAAGATTCTGTAAAAAAAAATAATAAATAAATTACACGGTAAGATTGGAGGCAAAAATAAAAATAATTACTGCCTTATCTTTTTTTAATAAGACCTTGTTATCAATTTTATTTACAAAATTAGTAATGCCAAAAAGTATTACAATTTTTCTAAAATTACACTTCAATAATCTATATAAATAGTAGTGTGATGGTAAAAGGGAAATGCATTTTCCAGAATGGATTGTCAATCCTTTATTAAATTTCCTAAGAGATTTTAAGGACCAATAGGCAAAAACTTATAAATAATACTGCAGAGAGAGTGCATATAGAATAAAATTTTTCCAACTAGTGTATTGCTAATATTTGACGAGCAAAAAAAGTATAAGATGTACCTGCTCTCCATCCCAAAGTTTTGTCAAATTGTTGTTGCTCATCTTTATTTCAACGAGATTTTCACCATTGAATGTTGTGGGCAAGGACTCTAAAGGGCATCCCACCCAATCCAATAGCCTGAGCTTTCTTGGCAAACGCTCCATACGAGAAGCATTTAGATTATTGAAATTTCCATAAAACCTAAGAAACTTCAGATTGTGCATTGAACGAAAGGCTTTATTAATTACCCACATCTCTTCAACTTCTGAACGGTTGATAATCAAGCCTTCAATACTTCCCTAATAAACAGAAAAATAATAATAATAAAAACATGACATAAATCAAATAGGAATTTGAAATTCAATAATCTTTTTAATAAAATAATGTAAAAAGTGCACTCTTACCCTATTTTCCTTCAATACTTCAGAACTTCTCCCAAAAATCCAAAATATCTTGCACCATGTAGGATATTTTAATGATTCTTCACGAACAATTTGTTTACCCATTTCTTCTATTAGATTGTGCATACCTATCATTCCTCCGTAAAAATCTAAAAGAGCTTTATCTTCAAGAATCTTCAATCCAATCTCAATTGAATAACCGCATGCACCTAAGAATTTTTTTGCATCCTTGACATAATGATAATAATTGACAAAACATGCGATATGTAAGAAAATATTTTTCGTTTCCTCATCAAGTTCTTCAAAACTCAATCTGAGAATATGATTAATTTCTGGAAGAGGTAATTTTTGAAGCTTTTCCAATTGGTTTTTCCATGCCTCCTGATTTTTGCCACGTAACAAGGCGGCAAAAACCTTTAGGGCCAATGGATTTCCATCCGCATATTGAGTCACTTGTTGTGCTAGCTTTCTTATCTTCAAGTCAGCATAGTCATTTCTAAAAGCATTGATGGAGAATAGATCAAAAGCTTCAAAAGGATTCAAACGATCAAGCACATATACATCGACCACTTTTATACCAGCAAGCACTTGCCTATCTCTGGTTGTTATCAAGATTTTACTTCCTGATCCAAATTCATGTCTTCCAACTAAATTTTCTAATTGTTCAACATCATCAACATCATCAAGCACAATGAAAACCTTTTTCCGACCAAGCCTACTGATGGTATAAGGATGTATTGTATTGCCAATGTGAGATTCTTTATCCCCTAATAACCTCCAAACAATTTTTTCCCTCAAAGCATCTATTCCATATCTCTTTGATTCTTCCCTTACATTAGCCAAAAAGCAAGACCCTTCATATGTAAAATGCAATTTGTTAAACAATGCTTTTGCAAGAGTTGTTTTGCCCAAACCGCCCATCCCCCAAATTCCAATGAATTGGCAACCACTATTGTTTGAACCTTTGTCCAACAATGATTCTACAACTGCCATTCTTTTGTGAATTCCAATCAAGCCTTCGAGATAATCTTCACTTTGATAACTAGGGCCCAACTTTTGTATGACACGATTCACTATTTCTTCAATTAGCTCCGCTTCATTCCTACACATCATTGAAAAAATAAAGAGGCACCAAATTTAATACCACATTATCTATTAAGTTCAAATTTTGAACTATTCCTAACGACAAGTAACTATGAAGATTTGCCAATTTTTAAAATTTCTTATAATATTTTTTGGAGAAATGTTTCTTATATTAGATGACATAACTAGATATATACAAAATTCCAGCTTCATTTTATGGCCACGAATGCATCGTCATAACCATAGGGAGACAGGGATTTGGATCAAAATATCATAACAGTAAAGTTGATGGACCCAGTGAAGTGATTAAGCATAGTGTACAAGAGAAGCTATTCTCTTTATGATCATCAGCGTAATTTCCATTAAATGCCTCAAAGATTGATTTACTTTAGCCCGAGGCATGGAAGAAAATGATAAGAGGAAGATCATAAATATGTAGTTACCTATTGAAGCCACAATGCCAACCAGACAAATTGGCAGCTTGAGTAAGAGCCTCCCTCCACTTTTGCAGTTGTTGATTGTTGATGTTTATTTTGCACTCATGTTCTTCAAATGCTTTCTTGTAACTCCCAGACTGCTTCCTCACATGTGAAGGATCCACTCTATAGAACACCGGCATAACAAAGCAACCTTGATTTTTAAAGCACTGTAATATTTTTGCAAGCTCCTCCAGGCACCACGTGGAAGATGCATAGTTTTCTGAGAAGATCACAAGGAACAGACTTGAATCTTCAATGGCTTTCTCAAGAGACGGCCATACCTCATCTCCCTTCTCAAGTCTATAGTCGATGTATGTATCTATTTGGTTTCTGCGAAGAGCTTCATGAAGGTGGCTTGTGAAGTTGGAGCGGGTGTCCTCACCTCTAAAACTAATAAAAACATCATACTCCTCCGGTCCTTATTATAAGACCCAATTTGACTTTTTATTTGGTCCTAATTATAAGACCCAATCCATTTTCTCTCTTATATTTATGCATTTTTTTCCAAGATAATCCTTCTAATAATGATAGTTTTAGCCAATATACTTAATTAGCAAGGATATTTTAGGAATAACAACACTTATTTATTATAAATAACCAACTTAACTTACTTCCTTAATCTCCTCAAATAAGTCAATTGGGTCTTATAATTAGGACCGGAGGAGTATTTCTTTGGAGATTGAGATGATGGAGCAGAGGAAGAAAATGAAGCCATATCAGATTGCTTTGCTACTATATGCAAAACAGAATTGGGAGTGCTTTCAATTCAGATCTAAGAATGATTGGCAATAGGAAACAAACCGGCCTAAGAGGAAGATATATAAATATATAAAATTTTAGGGGAATTGATTGAGTCAACCAAGTCAATGAAAGATGGAACAAATTGAATAATAAATAATCATAATAAATTATAAATAAAAGCAAAGCTAACTTTTAAAGATTTATTATAATACAGCTTCCAAACGTGTGACTTTTGAGAAGCTTCGCATGACATGATTCTCAAATTTGAAATTTCAAAGAAAGGAGGTCCTACCGAATTATAGTAGTGTGTGGAAAAGACCGCATTAAATGAAACCACAGTACAGAAAGGAAATTCCACTGACACTTTCTCCGAAATGTTGATCAAATATCTTTGAGACCTTCACCCAAAGCTTTAATCAAATTTTCTAAGGGCTGGTCCAAAAAGAAAAAGAAAATCAAATTTCCCAGGAAAGCAGAAACGCCTGCGGTGAAGTGTCCTGATGAAATTTGGATTAATAAAGCACTATAATTACACCTCTACTCTTATTTGTGTTGCATGTTTAGTGTTCGCCTCTAGAAATATGAGGTTGAACAAATACTTATTTTCTTCAAAAAATAATACAATCCTAAATATAAGACCCTTATACATATTAGTATAATAATATAAAGGTCTTATATTTAAGACAGGAGGAGTAACATATATTATCAAAACATTTAACATGAAAGACAGAGCTAATAAGCATTAGAGTAGAGAAGGGTGTGACTGTGAGTAAAAAACAAGGAGGAATAAGTACGGATTGCGTGTGACAGTGAGAATGGTGGAGCCTCATAAATAGTCATATGTCTCATTTTGAGGAATGATGTTAAATAATGTTTAATATAAAATACCCCTTATGAATAAATAAAATAACTCAGCACTTTTTGTCGTGCCAGTCTATTGTCATATAGTTTTTCTTCTTGATGAATGACATTTATATTTTTACTAAAAAAAATATGACCTAGCCCACCTTGGATTGAAGTTGAGAAAATGCAAAGTGTAAATTGAGGGTAAGAGTGGGAAAAAAAGGAAAAAAAAAAGGGTTTTAAGACATAATAAGTTAATGCTTGCGAAGCTTGCAGGAAGTTCGCAAAACAAACAAATAAACAAAAAAGTAGAATAAAGCTACTTTTGACTTTCATGCGGAGATAGTCAATCTGCCTATGGAAATGGAATCTCTTTGTTGGCTTTTTGGCATATGACTCAACCGACGCGTATAGTTATTGGCTTCATGTTTCAAAAAGTGTAGCGTGCTTTAATGAGCAAGTGAATTCGGGTCAAGTGAGGTCTCACCCATGATAGTTGACGGCGGGGTTGATTCATGACTCATAAAGTTATGAGTTTTAATCCCGATGGAAGGATTTTGTTAGTAGATAATATATAAATATTTATGTAAATATTTTCTTAGTCTGAAAATATATCATGATCCTGATAAGTCTCTGAGACTTAACTCACCTTAATTATTTTATAATATGACATCAGGTCTTTATTTGTTATTTTCTAAATTAAAGATCCCAAATCACAATTTCACATACTGGGAGTCTTTATTTGCCATTTTTAATGCTGGTAAAAAAAAAGAGAAATTTTTATAAATTATGTATGTCTATTTTATCTCGTTTTATTTGATTTTTTTTGGCTCATGTGTGTGGAAAAGACAATACTAAATGAAAAACATAGTACAGGGAGTAAGGAAATTCCACCGACACTTTCTCCGAAACGGTGATCAAATATCTTTGAGACCTTCACCCAAAGCTTTAATCAAACTTTCCAAGGGTTCGTCCAAAAGGAAAAAGAAAATCGAATTTCCCAGGAAAATATAAACGCCTGCCGTAAAATGTCCTGATGAAATTTGGTTTAATAAAGCACTATAATTACGCCTCTCTTACTTGTGTGGCATGTTTAGTACTCTTCGCCTCTAGGTATATAAGATTGAACGAATACTTATTTTCTTGAAAAAAAAACATATATTATCAAAACCTTAAAGTGAAAGCCAGAGCCAGTAAGCATTAGAGTTTTAACATTTCAAAACTGCACGTTTTGACAATTTTTGATTATATTTATTATTAGCCCTCATTTCCTCTGCTCTTGATAGACCAAAAAGCCAGTCAGTCAATTGCGCATGACAGTGAGAATGGCGGAACCTCGCTCTATTTGTTTGGGCGTTAAAACCAACAATCGTGTCTTGGCTATTAACACTTATGCTGGTACTCCTCATATCCTTAATGTAAGACACATTTAACTAATTTGATTAGATTAAGGAAGTTAGATAAGTTAGTTAATTATAAAAAATGTGACACGTTTGTCCTAAAATACCATAATCATTTTTCTTAATACCCACTCTTCCTCTCCTACTTGATTATGGTTAAAGGAGTATCTATAGGGGTAATTTAGAGAAAAATGATAAATATGATAAATGGGTCTTATATTTAGGACCAAAAGCCAACTCAACAATTAAGTCATATATTAAGGATCGGAGGAGTACTTTGTTTGGGTAAACTTACTAGTACTTTGTTTGGGTAAACTTTTTTTCCAGTGAGCTAAGCTAAAAATTTGAGCTTTTTTAGTTTGTAACATGGAGAGAGAAACAAATGAGGATTAAAAAAAATACAATAATATTTAAGTGGATCCTATATTAACCCAATAATTTGGTCACGTGGTCATGTGTGATCGGAGAATTTGACATAAAAAATTGATGTTAGTAATAACTTTTTTTTAATAATGTATTAACTCTTTTTATTTTATAATTTTATTTATTTATTTATTATTTTTCTTATATTTATTAAACTATATGTATGAGACATGTTATAAAATTCATGATTTTTTTAGTTATTTTACATGTAAACTTATTTTTCTATTATTTATTTAAACAAGTTTCAATTAGCAAACTGACTTTTATAACAAACCAATCCAAACATAGATCACATTACACTGACTTTTGGTTTTGTAAAAGTCATATGGAATAAAAGTCAGTTTTATCATTACTAATCTAAATACATCCTAAATAATTATTTACATCATACTTCATATATAATATTTAATTAATTTTAAGTAACTTTTTATTTACATAATTCATTGGTTGTCATTTATTATGTTTGAATGAGTTTTTAAACTCAAATTTGTTGTTGACATGTTCGATTGAGCATGCGTTTTCATTTGTATTAAACAAAATAAAATAACCTAATTTCTTTTCCAAAGATACAAAAGCAAGCAAAACCTGAAAATAGATAACCTATAACTTGGTTTTAATTGTGTACCTTAGCCTTCATTCCTTACTGAAAGTAATTGCGTCACCAAAAGTTAAAAGAAAATCGCTCCTAAATGACCTGTCGGCAAAACGAGTCCAATGGTGGTTCGAATTCCCTTATTTTAAAACATTTTGTGTTGCGTGAGAATAATTTTAATTCATAAAACGTAAAAATAATTTTTTTAATTGATTATTTGAGGCATTTAGCCAATGATGTGCAAGTTTTGGCATTTTAGATTATTATTATCTCTTATTTCCTCTCCTTTTTAATCAAACAAGCGAACATCAAGCATCGTTTGATTTCCATTTTTGAACCTTTTTTAGCCTCTACCAAAAAGCTTGGCTGGGTAAAATGCATATTATTGTACTTTTTTCTATCCTACTTGGTTGGAATATTTGCTTTGATTTTACCTACAAAATTTTAATCTACTTTATTTTTTAAATTCATAAATTATTCTTCAACTATCTCTATTTATTGCAAAAAATTAAAAATATGATACATGTAATTAACTGAATGTAAAAAGAAAAAAAAATTATTAAACGATGATGCATTTTAGATGTGTATACCGAAGTCTAGGGCTGAGCAATGGGCGGGCTGGGCTAACCCGAAGGTTAGCCCATAGCCCGCCCATTTATTCATAAATGGGCATGGGCTAACCCATAACCCGGTAGTAGCCCATTTAGCCCATATTAAATGGGCTACGGGGCAGCCCGTTTGGGCTGACCGGGTTATGGGGTAACCCATTTATTTTTTTAAATTTTTTTCAGTATAATTATTTTATATATGTAACCTTATGAAGCTGTCAATAAATTTTGCATGCCAAATAGCAAATCAAATATGAAATAATATTAACCATATTCAATCACACAACCTCACTTAGATTCGCAAACAATTAAAGTCTGATAAAATCATAAAAATAGTCACCAATCATAAAGTCTCATAAACTTTGAAAGTTCCAACTTTTACCTAAAAGATAAAATAAAAACTTAGACAAGTATGAAGGTTTGATAAAATATGAATGAGAAACAATATCATCAATTAAATGAAGAATAAAAATATTTTAAAAAATTTAAAACTTAAATGGGCGGGTATGGGTAGCCCAATACCTTGCCCATAGCCCAACCCGTTTAATGGGCTACCCCGCCCATTTAAGCCCGCCCGTTTATAATCTCTTATTTGGGCTAATTGGGCGGGCTTAAATGGGCAAAAAATTCATGGGTTATGGGCGGGCTAGCGGGTAATGGGTTTGTTGCTCACCCCTACCGAAGTCAACCCAAAAAGTTTCTGTAAATGTTTCCACTGGTACGGATAGCGGGTGACAGTGAGAGAGAAGCTCCTGTGAAATGACTAAATAAGCGGAGAGAAATTTTTTTTTAGCAAAAAAATAAGCGGAGAGAAATTAAAGTAGAAAATTCACACACAACTAGATATATATATATATATATTCTCGTCCTGTCATAAATATAAAACTCATTTTGTAGTTTAAATACTCATTTTGTAATGTAAATTACACTACAAGAGTTTTATATTTAGAACTAAAAAAAAAATATCCTTTACATTATAAAATGAGTTTATATTTAAAACCGAAGGGGTATATATATATATATATCCTGTATGTGTTTTTTCCCAATATTTTTCTTACATTTAGACTTTAAGAGTTATTGATTAAACTAAAGAAGACGTTATATAATTCAAAATTCAAAAAGTACATATGAATATATCTCCCATTATTGGAGCTCTATAAGAACCTTGATTTGCTTTTTCTTAGTTTGATTGGAATATTTATTTGTTAATACTTATAGTTTATTATAAATTTCATAAGTTTTATGTTGATCACTCTGCGTGTTGGGTAAGAGCTGTAACTCAAAAAAAAAAAAAGAAGAAGAAGAAGAAGAGAGAGAAAATAATAACAGAGGCCGGTTGATTTTAGCTTGAGTAAGATTTGTTCATTCCAGTATCCTTTCGTCGTTAAACGGACTTAAATGTATTCACAATTTGAAAGCAGTGAAAACAAGAGTGAAGAAAATAAAAAAGGGGGGTCTCCAATCAAATACTCTCCCTAATTATAAGTCTCAGTTCTTCTAAATACACATAAAAACATATATGGAGGATGGCCAACAACTAATACGGATCCAGATCCCCTCAGAAGCGTTTTTATCAGCGTCTCTCAGTATCTTAACATCCTATCTGTTCACATGATCCAAAGGCTCACAGTGCACCACATCATCAGGCCCATGCTCACTTCCTAGTCCGAGCCATTCGAAACACAGCCTCCATTCGCTGACTGCGACTAACACAGCCAGCGTCTTCAACATTCAGTTGCTTTGTCCTCCTCCCTTCCTGGTCCAAGCCATTCGACGGCACAAACGCGGAATCTCCGTACGTGGTCATTCCAGTATTGGGCGTTGTTGTGGAGATAGAACCCCAAAGCCAAGAATAGCTTTGCCGTTCATGTACCCGAATGACTCTTCTTCCTCCATATCCTGTCCCTTCCTTTTTCATCCTCTCGTCATTCTTTGATTTATATCAGCCATGTTCTTTCCAAGACAAGATAAAGTTAGCTACAAAGTTTCTCGTCATGTGTGCATGCACCCAGAGAGCTTCGTTTTCATTATAGAGCCTCACCCTTTTCTTTCATTAATTTAATGTATTGGTATCTGTTATTTTAGCTTCATTCGTCATTGAGGTGAGCTGTCCCTTTCGGAGCTTAAAACGTGAATAATCTCTTCACAGCCGAAGATGCTTAGTTCGCATCAAAGGTTGGGATTTGAAAGAGGAGAGAGCAGTTGAAAGTTGAAGACGCAGTGTCAATCGCACCCAACATCTTGAAATATTATTTAGTAACACCTAATATCTTAAAATAATTTTAAATAGGAGATGGAGAGTCAGGAGCACACGTAGAACCAGAACTTACAATTTAAAAGGATAGGCTGCATTTCACTAATATACAAAATGATAATGCTTAATTATACCCACAAAAAAAAAAAGAGTAAACACTGCACATTGGTCCTGAAAATAGATCCTCTGTCACAAGTGAAGGTAACACAGGGTCCGGGAAAGATAAAGGTGAGATATTTGTGCTTTGGAGAAAACTGCTGCTGTGTGATGTCTGTTGTTAATGCAGTGACCCAAGTGCGAATGCTCTGTTGATGTAAAAAGATAAAAGCACTGTTTTCTCTGTTTGGGAAGATTGCAAAGAATGATTTTTTGTAATTGCGAGGGATATTTTGGTCTTTTCATTATTTATTTGAAATAAATAATTCTATGAATTTTTTCTTAGAAGTATACCAAACAAACACACCCATGGTAATTAAGATTACATTCCAACGCATTCCACACCGGATAAAAGGGAAGCTTTAATGCGCAACTTAACTTGCCCAACCTCTGCATTTCCAACAACTGATCTTTACAAGGACTAAATTTGCATAAAACTTCTTGAACTAATAGCAGGTAAGTAGCACAACACGACGATAAGCTCATTTTGAATATCAAGGAAGATAGAGGGAAAACAAATCACCTGAACTTTTTATTGAATCCACCATGAAAAAGGAAATCTGAACATAACATACTAAAACATAAAATCTTTCAAGCCCCGTGTTCTATTCTTCCATGTCACAGCTTATGGGCTTGGGAAGGCAAAATCCTTGGATTTCCTAGGAACCACTTGTTTGTCATTGGTGTGGTCACAGGAGCAGCCTACTTTGATTCCCACTGAATTAGGTTTTGGCCGTACCACTTATAAATAAACGCTATGTATAATGTATTGAGTAGTATGAAATGGAATGAAAAATTCTCTTTCTTATTAATCATATCTTTCTCTCTATTATTCTTCTCTATTTCTTTTTTATTTATAACAATACTTAAACAAAATCAAAAATAAAACTTTTATTTTGAATTAGATCTTTTCCTTAAAATGAAACTGATATACAGGACAGAGTATTATTTCTTCTCGTTTATTATAGATTGTTTGTTACGATGCGCCAAAAAGATATAATTGGGACTGCCTTTAATTCGGATCTAAGAATGATTTAATGGAATAGGCTGGGTCAACCAAGTCAATGAAAATGGAACATACTGAATAATAAATAATTATAAATATAAATTATAATAAATAAAAGCACTTTTAGAAATTTACAAAAAGTTGGCTTCCGGGTGACTTCTGGGAACTTTCACAGGGATTGAATCTCAAATTTCAAAGACAGCATTAAATGCAAAACACGGTACAGAGAGAAAGCAAATTCACCGAAATCCTGGTCAAATTTCTCTGAGACCTTCACCGAAGCTTACTCAAATTTCCCAAGGGCTCGTCAAGTGAGGGGGGGACAAAGAAAGAAAATTTCCAAGGAAATATACCTATCAAGTTTCCTAATTAACGAAATTTGGTTTAATAAAGCCCTATGATTACGCCTCTCTCATTTGTGTTCTGCTCCTTTTCTCGAGTTCTACCATATATGATGCGTCTTCTCTTTTAGAAATATAAAATTGAATAAATAATTATTTTCTTTGACAAATAATAATGTATAATATGTAAGATTTTGTATAACTTTTAAAATGAAATGCAGAGGAGAGCTAGTAAGCATTAAAGTTTTAAAGTTTTAACATTCAAATGTGCAAGTATTGACATTTTTTATTATTATCAGCTCTCATTTCCTCTCCTTTTTAATCAAACAAGCCATCATTAAAGGGCTTGTTTGATTTCCATTTTTGAATTTTGTTTAGCTTTGACAAATTAAAAAACAACAGAAAAAGATTTATTTAGATAAGGTGCATGTCATTGTACTCACTTCTGTCCTAAATATAAAAGTTAGCTGAAATATTTGTTTTGGTTTCATATATAAAATTTTAATCTACTTTTTATCTTTCAAATTTATAATTTTTCCTAAATTATCCCCTTTTTTTTGGCAAACTATCCCTATTTATTGTATATATGAAAAGGATTATTCATTAATAAGGTAATGACTAGAACGGGATATTTTAAAATAGCTAATACGTATTTATTATTAATAGTTAATTTAACTAATATTCTTAATATTTCTAAATTTGTTGTACAACTCTTATATTTAGAATTGGGCACAATAGTGTTTTTTTCCCCTAGGCAGGGCTAATGAATCACTAAGATTAGACGGTTTTTGTGTCTAAATTTAATTTTGTTTTAGATTTTGGGTAATGACAATTAAAATCAATTAAAATTAGTTGATATATTTTAAACGTACATACCGGAGTCAACCCAAAAAGCAAGTCAATTGCGCGTAGAGGATGGTGTGAGCAATAAACACGGAATGAGGATTGAATTACTTTATAGCACAAAATGATGTTTTCAACCTTTGTCTCTTTAAGCTTTGACATTGCTCTTTGGCTTTTATTTCTCAGTTTCCTGTGCATCGTCAAGCTTGCCGGCTTCTGAGAGAGGATAAAATTGCAAGCACTTCATTTAGACCACTTATTTGCCACTAATCTTTCAATTTTATCACTTGTTTCCCTTTCGAGAAATTATACGGAGCCAAAACAAATCTAAAAACTAGGACTTATGTTTAGAGACATGGAGAGTAGTCAAATACACTCCTTTATTGAAGAAAATGTGTCGTAACTTTTCGGAATGGCAATCAAGAAAAAAAAACAGAGAGAGAACATGCATCGTTTTGTTTTTTGCCTTCCTTTTTAGATTTTTTGTTTGTGGGGCTCTAAGAGGCTCTAGGCTCTGTTCTGTCTCTCACTTCTTGCTTCCCATTTCGTTGTATGATAATGCATTCCCTGAAATTTCTCAGTCTTTATTTTTGTAATTATTCAAAAAGGCCACAAGCCTGAAAATAGGAGATGGAGAGGAAGACACGTAGAATCAGCACTTACAATTTGAATGCATAGGCTGCACTGCATATCACTAATATACAAAAATGATGATGCTTACACAGAATACATTTTTTTTAAAAAAAAAGAAGTGAACACAGCAAAATTGGTCCTGAAAATAGATCCTCTGTCACAAGTGAAGGTAACTCAAAGTCCGCGAAAGATAAAGCTGAGATACTTGCGCTTTGGAGAAAACTGCTGCTGTGTGATGTCTGCTGTTAATGCAGTGACCCAAGTGCGAATGCTCTGTTGAAGTAAAAGACAAAGGCACTGTTTTCTCTGATAAGGTTGCAAAAGAGGATTTTTTGTAATTGCCAGGGATATTTTGGTCTTTTCATTTTTTATTTGGAAAATAATTCAATGCCTTCTTAAAAGTGTGCCAAACACACCCACGGTAATTAACATTAGGTTGCAATGCATTCCATTTCGGATAAAAGGGAAGGGAAGCTTAAATACGCAACTTAACTTGCCCAACCCGTGCATTTCCACCAACTGGACATTACAGGGATTAAATTTCCATAAAACTTCCTAAACTACTAGCAGGTAAGTAGCACAACACGGGGATAAGCTCATTTTGAACATCAAGGAAAATAGAAGAAAAACAAATCACCTGAACTTTCGCTTGAATCCACCAAGAAAAACGAAATCTGAACATAACATCGTGAAAACATAATATCTTTCAAGCCCCGCGTTCTATTCTTCCATGTCACAGGAGCAGCCTACTTTGATTCCCTTTGAATTAGGTTGTGACTGTCACATCGATCCCATTGCATTAGAGTTAGGTTGCGGATGCAGTGATGCCGATTGAATTGGTTTAATGTAATTTTAATGTTTGACTTTTATTTTAATTCTAAATATAAGTCCTAATAATCTGATTTTCCTTTTATATTTTTTTATTTTTCTCAAAGTAGTCTTTATAATAATAGTAGTTATAACTACTACATTTGATCAACAAGGACATTTTGGAAGGAAAAAAATACCATCTACTTATTACAAATAACTAATTTAATTAATTTTTTTAATCTATTTAAATTAGTTAACCTATTCTTATATTTTTCCGATTTTAAATATAAGACTTATTTTGTAGTATGAATTATACTACAAAATAAATTTTATATTTAAGATCAGACAAGTATGAAAAACCGAAGTCAGCAGTTAATTTAAACAAACAGGGCCATGCATTTCAAAGAAAAGGGATACCCCAGGAAGTTGGAATTTTGCTGTGCTGTTATGAGTGGGGTGAAAAAGAAATTAACCTAGCACTTTCGGTGAGCCTCACCCCCTACGCACATCACGTGCGGAGCAAATTAAATAATTGAGTAAGGACACATGCATGCAAATACCCAAAAAAATAAAGCAACCAATGCATGTTAATTAAAGCTACTTTTGACTCGTCAGTCACGAAAATAAGTCGGCACGCATGTTAGTTCTCAATGATTACGCATGCGAGTTCTTGAAAGAGCGGAATTTGTGTTGAAATTGGGATACCCTGCTGCTCACCAAAAACAAAAAGAAAAAAGAAAGAAATATTGAAGGCGGATAAATAATCTAAAATGAAACTCGATACTTCGTGATTAAGATTTAGGGAAAACTAGTTCATAAATCTCTATAGTTACTTGGTTTTTAATCAGGCCTTCGTAATTTTTTTTTATTAGGTTCTTACCTTTTTTTTTTTTTAATTATAGGTATTGGTTCCCGTACTTACAAGTTGTCAATTTGCAAGAGAAATAAGGTTAGGAATTTCAGCATATACTTGGATTAATTAAATTTGTCACATAGATGTAAATAAAATCAAAATCACCCAAATTATACATTAAATATAATTGTAGAGAGACAACTTTATGGATAATAATATCTTATTATGTTAGTAACAAATAAATAAATCTAGTTCATCATTTTATCTTTAAAAATCCTTTTTTATTTTTTATTTTGTGGCAGAATCCATACCAGTTATGTATGAGATTAGAAACTAATGCCCATAATTAAAAAACCTATCCGGACAAAAAAGTGCAAAGACCTAATTAAAAAATAAAGTGAAGTTACATGAACTTAGAGACTAAATTTTCGAAGACATGAAACTAAGATTAAAACAAATCTGAATACTGAGACTCATATTTTAGAAAGGAAGAGTATAGTCAAACACGAGACTCTAACCTATCATTTATTGAAGAAAATGTATTGTTGTAACCTGTAATCCAAAGAAAATGGAATGTTTTGGCTGTTTGGTTGAGAGAACCAATGAAATTGAAGTGAGGGAATAATTTGAGGGGGGAAAAAAGTTGCTTGACAATTTGTTTTTAGTTGGTTGTTTTAAAAAATTAGAAACAAACAGTAATATGCTTTTAAAAAAAACTAAAAAAAATAAAAACAACTTTTAGATTTTTTTTTGTATTTTTGTATTTTTTTTATTTTGAATTATTGGAGAAACCTTCTTTTTTTCTTATCTACCATGGTCACCACTTACCAAATATGATTTTTTTATATTTTCTTTTTCAAATATAAATTTTTAAAATAATTATCCAAACAAATTTTTGCTTTTTTTTATTCTCAAAAATTGTTTTTAAAAAAACAATTTCATAAAATTATTTTGGGAATAGGAAAACAAAAAACAGAACCAAACAAGTCCAAGAAGATTAAAGAAGGGGGAGAAGATGCACAAGAACACTTAATTTTCAACAGAGTACTTAAAGAAAGAGACTCATTCAAACCATAAGCGAAGATTAGAGGCCCTTTGTGCCAAGAAAATCCTCATTGACAGATTTACGCAAGGGAAAAAAGACCCAGTGTCGCAGATCAAAATGAAAAGGAACCTTCAGAACTTCAGATAATTCCAAGAGATAGGAAAAAGAATTAAGAACTAAGCGGAGCTGATATAGAGATTTGTATCAAAAAGGCAATTAAGAACTTTAGATCAGAGTATGCAAATAGCACACACCTGAATTAGCATATATTTGCACAGATCCATAATCACAACCAATTGCTACGGGTGGATACTCAAGTGTCTTAAGAGAATTGGGTGGGTCATAATCTTCTTCGCCTCCACTGGTTTCAAGTTCTTCGCGATCCTTGTCCCTATTATTGAGACAAATGATTCATTCCTACTTCCTCATGTGATCAGGCTCTGCTTCAGTATTAATAGCGTCACTTTTAGACGGTGCCAAAGCCATCTGCCATATAATGAGACACCAGCCGAACCAAGCACAGCCTGCAACAGCATTACCAAATACCAGGCAAGTCCTTAAATGACATGTATTAACATATGTAATCAGGAAGCAGAACAAAAAGGTGACATATTGACAATGACCGCGGCGGCGACCAGCGAATCATCGACGCCGATGACCAAAGACACTACAGGAGAAGGCTTTCAATCTATTGAACTGATTTTATAAAGTTGGTTCATTCTATAACAGAAAACAAATCAAGCTCACATCTATTTCTTATGTCTGCAAACTCCTTCAATGGCTTCCTCAACCTCAAGCTCCATATATTTCTTTGACCATCAGAGAAGATGCAGCAATGAGGTAAATGGAGACAAAACATATTTGCACATAGGAGGTGAATTCGCATTTTCTTTCTCAATCTGCTTGGTTAAGAAGTAATTACCTTAATGTCCAGTTGAATCCAACTCTTCAAGATCCAACAGAAAGAAAGTCGTGGCCGTAATATGCCGAGGTCAATAGTCGAATGTAATCGTCACTCCCATCATCTTAGCTTAAAACAATAAAGAAAGGTTAAGATCAGCAATGCAATTTGGACTCCTCAGACCTCAAGAATAGAATCAAATCTCAATAGAAAAAAATGTTAAATTAATTATATGCGGTAATTAGTACGTACAAACATACAAAAATCATGTCTATAACTACTAATTAAAACCAGAGTATACCATTTTGAGGTGGATGCACGAGAGTGATGTATGAAGTTATAGTGTTTAGATCAATTCAACCTGAGAGCTTTAAAACTCAATCATTTCTTCAAATTCATCGAAGCAAGCTGTGGTATTTGCGCTTTCGAGAGAGAGAGAGGCCGCTTCCATTGCATTAGAGCCAGGCTGAGGAGGCAATGGCAATTGATTTTGTTTAATGTCACCATTTTGATATTCATCCGCAGATATCGGGCATACCCCGCACCTTCTGATCTTTACCATTCTGTCATCATCCGAACGAATGTCACCTTTTGATCCGTATGAAGTTATAGTGCATTTGCGCTTTCGAGAGAGAGAGGCCGCTTCCATTGCATTAGAGCTAGGCTGAGGAGGCCATGGCAATTGAATTTGTTTAATGTCACCATCTTGATATTCAACTGCAGATGCTGGGCATACTCCACACCTTTTGATCTCTGCCGTTCTGTCATCATACCAACGAGCTTCGAATTTAACTTTAAGCTCCATGTTGCTCTGACCATTTCTTTTCCTTTCTTCAATTTTCCTTTTTAGTTCTCCAAGTGAATCAGGATCATACCAAAGACCAACATGCTTTGAGGACTGCCCATACAAGTAAAACGGGCTTTTAGCGGCCCTGCAAGCATATTTACCATCAATAAGCCATTTGGCATCAATTTCTCCTCCCCCCTCTAATGGTAATTTAGAAAAGACGACGCAAAAAAGGAATCCCCCATCCTCAGAATTTGGAATCGAACTGAGATTCACAGTCATGGGATCCTCTTCAGTACTCTTAAACTTGAACCACTTTGGAACTATTTTTCCTGGATATAACAATATAGCATCGTCATAAGTGGGTTTCTTTATCGCAAGTAGCACTCTTGCCTCAGCAGCTTCGATTGCCCGTCGATTCAGCTTCTTGCAATTTGTGAATATAAAGCGTGCATATGCCTTCTCTTTTCCTTCTTCACCTTCGTTTGTCAAAGGTGAATATTGTATGGTCTCAAGGGATATGCAGTCAGTTGCAAACAATTGAAAGACAGAGGGAGGGAGCTCTGGTAGACAACGAAGCCTTTTACATCCATGCAGTTCAAGACGTTGCAGGCGTGAAAGATGTTTGATGCTCGAAGGCAAGGTCTGTACATTAGTCAGTGAGAGATCTAAGTCACGTAATGATGACAGCAACCTGATGTCATTAGGAAGTTCAGATAATTCATTGCAATACGGAAGCCCGAGTCTTTCCAAAGCACCCATCTTATCACACTTGGACAGGAGAGGTGACGCTAGCTCATTACAGCCTCCAGCATCAACACCTCGAAGGTCACGCAGCTCAATCAATTCGTGAACGCTTGTCACATTTCCGCAATTGGCTATAGCTAAGTCACGAATTTTGCTGCGATGCCCACTTGATGAGCGCAACGCACCTCTGATGGCAGCTCCTGAAAGGTGTGAACAGAGCTCTTCATTTTCTGAGGTTACTGAAAATTCCTCCAGACTTGAGCAATAACTTACATCGAGCCGACTGAGAGATTGGAGAGGGGTATCGCTTGTAAGGCTGGTAAGGGACTTGCAACGGCGTAGCCATAAACTATGCAGGCTGGGGAGAGATAAAATAGATGGATGAACACTCCGCAATTTTGTACAGAACATGAGATCAACATATTTAAGACGTGTGGCCTTGGAAAAATCTGGGAGTTCAATCAAGTTTGTTGAACCAGTGAGCGTAATTGCGATTAAGTTCCGAAGATTCTGTAAAAGCATAAATTACATGATAAGATTGGTGGCCAAAACCAAATTAAATTACTTATCTATTCCTTTTTATAAGGTTTCGCTGCCTGTTTTGCTGAGAAAATAAGTTGAAATTAGCTATTGTCAACGACTTAAATTTTACAACTTTTCATAATCTTAATCAATACTCCCTCCGATTGAAGATACCAAATAACTACATCACATAATTTGATTAAAATTAGTTAAAAATAATAAAAGAAAATGTAATTTATTTTCTTAAAACATGTTTGTTTATGAAGAGGATAAGTGAGAGAAAAAATATGTAGAAAAAGAGATATGAGAGAATGAGTTGAAAAAAAAAGAATTAGAAAGATATATAATCAATTAAAAGTAAAAAATAAAAATGATGTATCTCACAAAAAAAAATGATGTATTTAATGATTAGGTAAATCCAAATTATAACTTATTAAAAAAAAAAAAAAGCTTCAAAGATTTGATGCTTATAGTTCAACAGAGATAGTAATCTTTATAAGTAAAGGGCATGGAGCTTAGTGTGAGGGTGAAAGACGAAGGCATTTATTTAGAATGGGTTATCAATATTTCATTGAATTTTGTAAGAGATTTTATCTGGACCTTATAAAAACGGCTGAGCGGAGCGTATTTAATACAGATTTTCCAACTGATGTGTTAACAATATTTTGTAAGAAAAAATATAAAATTCACCTGCACTCCATCCCAAAGTCTTGTCAATTTGCTGCCGGGCATTTTCAATCGAACAAGACTTTCAGCCTTAAATGTCGCTGGCAAGGACTCGAAAGGGCATCCCACCCAATCCAGTAGCATGAGTTTTTTTGACAGAAACTTCATACAAGAAGCATTTAACTTGTTCCTAAGCTGTCCATTCAAATCTCCATAAACCTTAAGCAGCTTTAGATTGGGCATTGAATCAAATGCTTTAATAATTACGCACATCTCTTCAACTTCTGAAAGGCTAATAACCATGCCTTCAATACGTCCCTAACAAACAAAAAAATTATAATAGTAATAAAAATATTATATACGTCAAATAGGAATTTGGAATTCAACAATCTTTTTAATAAATAAATGTAGAAATTTCATGCTTACCATATTTTTCTTCAATATATCAAAACTTTCCTTGAAAATCCAAAATATGTTGCACCATGTAGGATAATTTAATGATTCTTCACGGACAATTTGTTTACCCATTTGTTTTATTAGACTGTGCATATATATTCGTCCTCTATCAATATCTAAAAGGGCTTTTTCCTCAAGTCTCGCCAATCCAATCTCGGTTGAATAACCGCATGCATCTAACAATTTTTTTACATCCTCAGCATCATAATAATAATTGAAAAAACATGCGACGTGCAAGGCAATATTTTTCTCTTCCTTATCAAGTCCTTCAAAACTCAATCTGAGGATATCAATGACTTGTGGACAAAACAATTTTTGAAGCTTTGCCAATTGGCTTTTCCATGCTTCTTGATTTTTGCCACGCAAGATGGAGTCCAGAACCTTTAGAGCCAATGGATTTCCACCTGCATATTTAGTCACTTCTTCTGCTAGCTCTCTTATCTTTGGGTCAACATAGCCATTTCTAAAGGCATTGATGGAGAATAGATCAAAAGCTTCATCAGGATTCAAACCACGAAGCACATATATATCATCCACTTCATTACCAAGTGTTTGCTTATCTCTGGTTGTTATCAAGATTTTACTACCTGATCCAAATTCATGTCTTCCAACTAACTTTTCTAAATGTGTAAGATCATCGACGTCATCAAGCACAATGAAAACCTTTTTCCGACCAAGCGTACTGACGGTATAAGGACATATTGCATTGCCAATGTGAGATTCTTTATCCCCTAATAACCCCCGAACAACTTTTCCCTCAAAGCATCCATTCCGTGTCTCTTTGATTCTTCCCTTACATTAGTCAAAAGGCAAGACCCTTCATATGTAAAACGCAATTTGTTAAACAATGCTTTTGCAAGAGTTGTTTTGCCCAAACCGCCCATCCCCCAAATTCCAATGAATTGGCAACCACCAATTTTTGAACCTTTGTCCAACAAGGATTCTACATCTGCCATTCTTTCGTGAATTCCAATCAAGCCTTTTAGATAATCTTCACTTTGATACCTAGGGCCCAACTTTTGTATGACACAATTCACTATTTCTTTAATTAGCTCCGCTTCATCCCTACACACCATTGAAAAAATAAAGAGGCGCCAAATTTAGCACCACATTATCTGTTCATTTCAAATTTTCAACTATTCCTAATGACATGTAACTATGAAGATTTGCCAATTTTTAAAATTTTTAGAATATTTTTCAAGAAATATTACTTATACTAGATGACATAACTAGATATATATAAAGTTCCAGCTTCATCTTATGGCTACGAATGCACCGTCATTACCATAGTGAGATAGGGATTTAGATTAAAATATCATAACAGTAAAGTTGATGGACCCGGTGGACTGGTTAAGCGTAGTGTACAAGAGAAGCTATTCTCTTTATGATCATCAGCGTAACTTCCATTAAATGCCTCAAAGATTGATTTAATTTAGCCCCAGGGATGGAAGAGAATGATAAGAGGAAAATCATAAATATGTAGTTACCTATTGACGCTACAAGGCCAACCAGACAAATCGGCAGCTTGAGTAAGAGCGTCCCTCCACTTTTGCAGTTGTTGATTGTTGATGTTTCTTTTGCGCTCATGTTCTTCAAATGCTTTCTGGTAGCTCCCAGACTGCTTCCTTACATGTGAAGGATCCACTCTATAGAACACCGGCATAACAGAGCAATCTTGATTTTTGGAGCACTCTAATATTTTTGCAAGCTCCTTCAGACACCAAGTGGAAGATGCATAGTTTTCTGAGAAGACCACAAGGAACAGAGTTGAATTTTCAATGCCTTTCTCAAGAGACGGCCATACCTCATCTCCTTTCTCAAGTCTGTAGTCGATGTATGTATTTATTTGGTTTGTGCGAAGAGCTTCATGAAGGTGGCTTGTGAAGTTGAAGCGGGTGTCCTCGCCTCTGAAGCTAATAAAAACATCATATTTCTTTGGAGATTGAAAAGACGAAGCAAAGGAAGAAGATGAAGCCATATCAAATTGCTTGGCTATAGGAAACGATTTGGGACTGCTTTCAATTCTGATCTAAGAACGATTGGCAATAGGAAACAAGCCGGCCTAAGAGGAATATATATAAGATTTTAGGGGAATAGATTGAGTCAACCAAGTCAATGAAAGACGGAACAAAATGAATAATAAATAATCATAATAAATTATAAATAAAAGCAAAGCTAACTTTTAGAGATTTGAAATTTCACATCGCCTGGTTCTCAAATTTGAAATTTCAAAGAAAGGGCCCTCCTACTGAACCAAAGTAGCGTGTGGAAAAGACAGCACTAAATGAAAAACATAGCAAAGAGAGTAAGGAAATTCCATCGACACTTTCTCCGAAATGTTGATCCAATATCTTTGAGACCTGCACCCAAAGCTTTAATCAAATTCTCTGAGGGCTGATCCAAAAAGAAAAAGAAAAAGAAAATCAAATTTCCCCAAGAAAATATAAGCGCCTGAGGTCAAATGTCCTAATGAAATTTGGATTAATGAAGCACTATAGTTACATCCCTACTCTTACTTGTGTTGCATGTTTAGTCTTCGCCTCTAGAAATATAAGATTAAACAAATGCTCATTCTTTTCAAAAATAAACACATATTATCAAAACATTTAAAGTGAAAGCCAGAGCTAGCAAGCATTAGAGTTTTAACATTTCCAACTGCAAGTTTTGACAATTGT